GCTTGTGTCCTGTAAGTCACCTGCGGAAATAAGTATTAGAGTGCCGAAAACAACGACGTGCAGTCGTCAGGACATATCGTAAGTACAATATTACGGAGTAATCTCCTCTCTTCTCGACACATACAGCCAAGGTGACTAGACGTCCCGATTTTTCGCCCTTCGTCCCGAATTTTTTTGAGTGCTATTCGGGACACCGATTTGTCATTATTTTCAATGATTGTCAAGTAATTTTCGGATCTTTTTATCCCCTTCCCCCCGTCCCCTCGCTTCACACATTTATGAAGTGTCCTGAATTCAGGGCTGGGAAATCTGGTCACCTTAGAGAAAGTCCACTCCAAGAAATTTAAGAAGCCCGATAATCGCATGTCGATTCGAGAGCTGATTACGCGATCATAAGAAGTGCGTGTATGTTGAACGATGAATATTACCACGATAAATATTACTACGGCACTTCTCGCTTGCGAGTTTCTCGGAGCTGACGGCTTCGAGTTTTTCCCCCGTCTCGCGGAGAGACGAGAGTGTATCGTGGGAATTAAACGAGGGAGAAAATCCTTCACCCTACTTCCACCCGCCGGCCTCATCTTTCCGCTCGTCTTTGTGGAAATCACTCGCGAATGAGGCGCTTTTCAGCGCGAAACAAACGCACGACTCGACGTTGGCCTGGAGGAACGATTGCCCAGGGTGACAGCACTGTTCATTTCCAACGCAAATTCGCGTGCTTCGCGAAAGCATCGCTCGATGCTGGTACGTACTCTCTCGGAGGTGACTCTCGGATATATGTAACCTACATCGAATGGCCCGAAATTACCGGCGTGCAGTACTTTAGAGATGGACGCAAAGTGCGTCCTGTTAAGCAAGTATCATGAAATTCACAAATACGCCGAGACCGCTATTAACACATGAAGTGATATTATCCTAGAGTGGTTAATGGAGGAAAAATTACAACCCTTTATCCTCAATGAATTTTAGAATCTATCCAGTTTTCAAATAAAATTAAGGAAAAATTGTTCTTTACAAATTATTAAGAAACGATTTCCTCTATTGAATAACAGATGCATTTTGAAATTCATCTAAACTTGTTGTAAATTTTTTTCCATTGATTGTGTGTATTTTATGTGTAAATTCTCCAAATAAGTATTACTTTCAAGTGGTAAGATTGACATAATCGTTACACATTGACTACCACGCTAACTTCTATTGGTTACTTTAATGCTCAACGCAAATTTAAATCAATAAAAATGAGACAAATGAATGCAATTCACGATACATATTTTCACTAGGTTTTCATTGTAGGCATTACAGACTCTTTATAAACTATATATAATTTGTGTTATAAATTTGTTTCATATATTAATTAGTGCGACGCGGTAATGTTATACTATCGGTCACCGATCATCACCATGACAGTCAACGTATTAATCGCAGCAAAAATGTGATATAAAATGAAAATACACACAGAAAAATACATACTGCATTCAAGTGTTACTTGTTTCAAATATTTCATAAATTTATCCGCAAGTCTATCACGAATATCAAATTCATTCAAAATGCATTTTAAATCCTAACACAAGTTTCAATTAAAATCAAAATTAATTTAAAATAAACAATTTAGCATCTCAATAAAAAATATGAAATTAAACGAAAAATGCAGTTTGCTTACCATATAGAATCGAATCAATTTTCTTCTTAATAAAGTTCTATAATATTCTTGTAAAGAGAATAAATTCTTCTTTATAAATAAATTCTTATAATAAATTCTTCTTTAAGTACATGATAAAATGAGCTTGTCTCAAATTTGATAAGTATATTTGTTGTAAAGAACGTTATAATGTATTTATTATGGAGAAAATGTTTTTTGTTGAAAATAACCATTAATTAATTAAAGAAGGAGAGCAAACTAAGTAACCGCTTTTCTTAGCAATAGAATGATATTTTTCTGCGTGTAAATATGATTTCGTCAATTCTTTGATATATCAAAATTGATAGTTATTTCTTTGACAGATCTCGTAAACGCTGTAATTCCAAGTCATTCGAAGTACAAACGAAAACACGGACGATACTCTTTTGAGAACGATATTTAAGATATCTTCTTGAAATATTTTTCGCTGTTTCTCCACGTTGTATTTTTATCCTCCAAAGCATAAGTAGAAGAAACGGTCAATATGTTTGAGAGCGAACCACGGGACACTCTTCTTCTTTTTTATTCAAGCAGATTCACATTAGCCGTTCCACGAACTTTTCTGACGTATCTCTCGTATTCTCGTGTCTTCTGCGCCCGACGGCGACAGCGGCGCCGCGAAAATAAATCGTAACATTTCCGATTTGCATCTTTATTAAAAAGTTCCACTTGTCAACACGGCGCGGACAAGCGAGCCCTCTATCAGAAAGAAGATTTATCAAGCGCCTGCCGCCGCGTGGAAATACGTTTAAACAGCGATTCCATCAAACTACCTTCTCCTACTCCTCCTCCTCCGTCATCACCCTCTGCTGCCAGTCAATGTGCGACACTCTAAAGCACCGAATATAAAATCGCGTACTCGCGAAAGTTAGTCTAAACACAAACAGTAATTTCCATCACAAAAATCTGATGAAATGGGATGCGGAACGATGAGGTGGGTGATCTGCCGTGGAGTACTTACGAGACGCGTACCTATGCCGAGGTTTACCGAACTTTCCTCATAGCACACGTACTGGGGGAGTGCGCCGGAAAAAGATTGGATTGCTTTTAATATCAAACGCGCGGCAACCGACAAATCTCTGAAATCATACATTAGTAGGTAGGGCGGCAAACGTCGAGAGATATCTCGCGAAAGTTCCTCCACAGCAAATCCGCAATCGGGAATATCACTCGCTTCCGAAGAAATCGAAATATTTCACATCATCTTAACACATTGTTGATCACGGATCACTCGGGGGAAACTCGTGTTTTACTGATCGAATATTGCCGGCCAGTCCACGAGTTCTCTCGTGCTCTGACAACAGGCGAAACGAGACTGGGAACGAGAGCTCAACAATGCTGAAAATAATTGTATTTGCGCGTTTGCGTTTCTGTGTTGAATTGAATTGAATGAAGCCAGAGGGAACTAAAACGCTCAAGATTTTCTACAGAATGTTTCTCTGAAATAGAAGTAAAAATAAAGTAAATAATAAAGTAAGAATATGTTATTATCAATATGTTATTATAGAAATATATTGTATAATAACATAAGTTTTTTATATGAAAATATTAAGTTTATTAAATATTATATAATGTATAAAGTGTATATATATAATAATTAAAATTTTTGTCTTTCTCCTTATTTTTTAATTATCTTTTCATTAAAGATAGCAATGTCATATATTTTCACAATAATACAAATAAAAATATTCCTAAATAGCAGGATGACGTCAAATGATGTAGTAACGACGTATTAACGACGTTTCTAATATAATAGATCCGTTTGAAGCTTACATTTCTAAGTGAAGTGAATTTTTAGTTGAAACACTGCATCAATGTGAAATTGCCCGTATCACTTTTAGATGCAATATATATATAAATCTGTTTTTCTTCAAAATTTTTGCATTTTTAAGATATAAGTAATACGCCCTTAATAGTTGAACTTTCTTGAAGAATCAAAGAGAAAAATGTCAAACTTTTCGCTCCAACCAAATAAAATCCCTCAGTACAAACTAGCGTTTGGCTCTTGTAAATCTTTAATAGATTTTGATTTCAAATTAGAAATCTGAGAGCCTTCAGTTCCACTCAATATTAAAAAATGCCGATGAACAATGCGTCGAGATAACAGAATAACACTCTGCCGCTTGCGGCAATTACACCCTTACCGTGCAATAATTCGCGTTCATAGCCGGCGCGTCTCGGATACGACCTCCCTGCCTCCTTCCTGTCCACCCCCATAAAGAACGGTCTGTTCGAGGCTTCACACCGTGCGCCGCGCAATATTTTCCCGTAATAAGCTCGCGGTATAATAATAGAATTACGCCGTCGCGGTTCCGCGACCGACGCACGCGATCCGCTATCGCAATCGCCTATAAATCGCGCGGCGCGCGATGATTTTCATTACCTCTCCTACCTCGAACGTCTCTCAGACCGGCTGGAAATCGAGCGGAACGCACGCCGTTAGAATTCGGTTTCGTGCGCCGCCTCGCGACGTCGCTCCACCGCTGAAATCATATGAGTTGTTACTCCGCGGCATGCACGCTGCATATGCATGCGCTTACTTACTATCCTCCTCCTCCCCTCTTCCTTCTCTCCGATCTCTCTCTCTCTCCTTCTCTATCGTTCTCTGTCCGTAGTCACGCTTCGTACGACGATTCTCGTGGCTCCGTTTTCAACCCCCGTTGGAAAACCCGGAAGGAAACCAGTGCGCCACGAGCATCATCGACACGTCGACGACTGGGTGAATCTCCCGCACCCTTCTCTCTCTCCCTCTCCCTCTCTCTCTCACACACACATACACACACACACACTCTCTTCTCCTGTGGTCCTTCGTCCCCGTTCCGGTACTTCTCATACTTGCCGTGGATTTCAATGAATTCTAAAGATAACTTCTCGACTAGCAAGCCTCCGCCGCCGTGGCCGTCGCTGCTATCACTCTTTCCACTCTTCCCACCGGCCGCCCCTCGACTTCTGTTACTCGCGTTTCGGTACCACCCTTTGTCTCGAGCGTTTCCTACCCCTACAGCCGTCGCTATTCGGCCTTTGAGAGAGAAAGGGAGAGAGAAAATTCCACTCGAAACGGACGCCGTTATGCAAATACCCGCGGGAATCTTTATTAATGTTATCCTGAGGCGGTCAGAGGGCGGCTCGCCTGCCCGGTCAAGGGGTGGTGGTGGTGCGCGCGTGATTAGTGAGCCCAGCGATGTCACGAAATGAAAGGTACGTGTCGGCGGAATCTGCGCGCCGGCACGTAGAGCAGAGGCCGGACGCCGACACGGCGAACTGCGTCACGCGAAATGCGACTTTACGCTTTTAATCGCGTGTCAACGATCTCTGTTCACAGACGGCTGCGAGAACAAGAAGTGCGAGTTCTACGGCGAGTGCGAGAGCGACAACGCCGGCGAAGCCAAGTGTGTCTGCCCTACCAAGTGCGAGACTACCGTAAGTCTATAGAAAACTTTATTCACATAAACGCACATTGCTGTGTGCGTGATGAAAAATACATATCTTCAACCACTTGCGATAAATGTGTTAATGCATAATTTAACGAAATTTAATTGGTGATTTATTTTATTAATAAACTAATTATTTTTATTTATTAGTATTACATAATTTTGTGATTAATTTTTATATTATATATTGATTTTAATATTTAATATATTTTTATCTTATATTTAATATTTAATATTATTAATTTTATTGTTAATTTTAATATTAAAGTTTAATATTAATAAGTTTAATTTTAATAAGTTAAATTATTCAATTGTTTTAAATTATAATTAAATGATTTTAATACTAAATTAATTTGTTTATTATCCGCGGATATTTAATTGCAGTATTTTTAATCTTAACTTAGATAAATATTCATTACACGTGTCAATTTTAAACTTTTATATGTATTTTATCTTGTCGCATGCACACATTTTTTTATATGTTCTTGTAGTTATTCTGGATCTATTATAGTTACATGGTTTCTAGGTTTATTAGTTACATCACATATCAAAAAGCTACAAACGTTTGTACAAGACATTATTTATATAATTGCATTGCTATGTGCAAAACTGAAAATTGATATTTTTAACTACTCGAGATAAATATGTTGCGTTTAATTGAACGAGATTACTGGTTATTTATTTTTTTACTACTCGCAAATACTTAATTTTATAGTTTGGATTAATATTTATGTGCTAATTTTTAATTTTTATTTTGACATGTATTTTGACATGTATTTTGTCTTCTCGCGTGTATATATTTTTTTAGTTATTCTAGATTTATTATAGTTATGTCACAAATCCAAAAGACAAACGTTTGTAAAAGACATTATTCACATTATTGCATTGCTGTGTGTGTGACAGAAAATTGACTTTTAATTACTCGAGATAAATATGTTGCGCGTAACTGAACGCGAGGTTACTATTTTTTTTTTTTTTTTTAATAGTTATTCTACATTTATTATAGTTACATAACGGATCAAAGGCAAAAAATATCTGTGGAAATATTACTCACATGATTGCGTTATTGTGTGCACGATTGAAAATTTATGTTCCAGCTGTTTCAGATAAATATGTTACGCGTAATTGAGCGAAGTTACTGATTACTTTTTTTATTATCCGTGAAAATTGAATTACAATATTTGATTTAAACTTAGAAAAATACTCATTATGTATGCCAATTTTTAATTCTACTTTAACCTATATTTTGTCCCCTACTGCATTTATATGTTATTTCGGACCTATCATAGTCATATTGCACGGCAAAGGCAAAAAAACGTCGACGTTTTTATTTTTCTGTATTTCTATTTGCGCAACATTTCGAGAAGATATCAACGTCAACGAACGTTGCAAACGCACTCGTTCCGGCTCTAATGAATAGCGCGACCATAAATACGTCAGGAGAGCACGTGACGCGCATTATGGAATATTAAATGGAATGTTCAGGTTGTTTGGATTATTCAAAATTGTCATTTGCATTCGCGCCACTTCGATCATCTAAATTTTATAAATGTCTCGCCTGTCTTGTTTGCGTTTCGCGAAAATATAACGCCGATGAACGCGCTCACGTGCGAGAGAAAGAGAAAGAGAGACAGAGAGAAAAAGAGTGAGAGGGGGGAATGGCTCTCGATCCAAGGTTGACAGTGGCGCAGCCGTGCGAAATTCCAAATTCAATAAATCGCGCGTACGTATCGCGCGCGTGCCTGCTTGTTTTTAAATAATTCTTTCGGACGAATCAATGTTCAGATTAATTCCTGCCGTTATAGCGGAGCCAGCGCCGAAGGAACCGCTCGGCCAATTAAATATTCCCGCCGTGTATTTTATGTTGAAACGAATTCTCGTGTATTTTAATAGATTTTTGTTAATGCTGTGCGCGTCACAAAACACAATACAATACGCATACACATGACTGATTACCTCAAATAAAGTAAATTTAAGGATAGAGTGGCTCTTTTACACTCAGAAAATAATGCCTGATATTTATATGTATGTGACTATAACGACATGCAAAGAAATAACTATTATAAGCTATAGTTAAAAAAACCAATTTTTTAATAAAATGTTTTTATAATATTAGTAATATTAGTAATAGATCTTATATACATGTTATTACTACTATTTTCACGTGTTAGAACAAAAAAGCTATAATTTATTAATTGGATCAATCCAACTTAATAGTTCATTAATTGAATCAATTTTCTTTTCTCTGAGTGTGATAAACAATCACGTAAAATAAGAGGACGGACGTGAAGCAATTTTTCTCGATACGACGATTAACCTGGAAATTATACGACTTTTCTCGTTCAGCGCGAGTCGCGGAAAGAACAAAAAGGCACTAATAATAGCACGTGGAACCTCCTCGCCGTCGTCCTGGCGGATGCTCGGGGCGATTCGTCGCGCTTAAGGCCCTCTCGTTAGCGTAACCGCCGTGAAATATTCACACGATGATGAATAGTCCCGCTGGATGCACGCAGCCGCGTGTGCATTCTCGACCGACGATATTTCGCGTTTCCCCAAGACCGTTCGATGTTGCCGAGTAGGAAGCCGCTTCGTTAGGAACGCGACGAGGGGTGCAGTGGCAGCGGGGCCGGCTGACGCATTTGCATGCGCTGTTTTCAGGACTTTCCATCAGCGCTCCGCCGTTCCGCGTTCGCCTCTCTGGCTCGCTTTATTATAACCTTCTTCCGCGAATGAATGGCCTTTTCATGTTTCATTAGGCAGCCAACAATAGTCAATAGCTCTTGCCGCAAAATGTCGAAAATTCCGACGATGGGAACGATGGGAACGCGTTTCGCCCGGCATTCGACGCGACAGTCGCGGCGAGCCGGAAAGGGAGATACCTGCGTGCGCACGCGCGTGGGAAAAAGTTTTAATTAACATTTTGTTCTCGCGCATCCGCGGTTTCGTCGACCGCGCTCCAATGCGCTTTATCTGGCAACGGGCGCTCGCTCTCCCCCTCGCGCACGCCACGAGCAAATGCACAGAGCATAAATAGCCGCCGCATTCAGCCGCCCGGATCCTGTGAGTTAATTAGTCCTAAGTTAATTAGTTAAATCAGCGAGTCACCGTGTGATTCGCTCCCGCGATACGTATAGAGTGGACTGATTGTTACGGCGCGAATAAATTAAAAGAAAAAAAAGGGAAGAAAAGAAAACGTGTGCCGTAATAAAATTTTCCAAGATTTTGTCAGATATACCGAATATGTCGAGAATGCCCAAATTTGTCCCGAAATCGGTTGACTCACTTTGATTGATTCACAATTTAAAATCCCATTCGTGTCCCCAATACGGGTTCGTGGAAAAGAAAAGATTTCCTACCGCAAGTGAAAATCTTGTTAGTCTAGCAAATTTACAACCGTAATATACAGACAGTCAGTTTGCTGTTTTGCAGTAACCAAGTCGCAGAGCTGCATAAGATTTGTGGTTGAACCTAGTAAAGTTTGATGGTGTAGTACAGCAAATCTGTTAGCATAGCAAAGATGATTCTATACTGCAACTAATGGAAGGTGTAATTAGTTATATGAAATTAATCATTTTGCTGTTATATTAAAGGAAATTTGGCACATTAACGGATTTCAATATAGCTAAATCATCAGTTGCTGCAGCAAGAGAAGTTAGCTAAAGCAAAAATGCTCGTTGAAATGTCTCAGACATTTGCAATCTCATACAGACTTAATGGAGATGCACAAAAATATTTTGTTATTATCTATTAAATAATTGCATGATTTCTTTAGTAAAATTATTGAATTTGTTTTGCAAGTTTTAATTAGCTCGAAATACAAAATAATTTGTTGCAATAATTAAGATAATATCAAGGAAAATAGGTTTGCTATATGAGCGAGTTGACAATTGCTTTTAAACCTAATATCTTTGTTGCACTGGCAAATTTGCTGAGTTATAACATTTTATTTCACCCAGCAAGCTATAGATTTGCAAAATCACTTAAATCATTTTTTCCCGTGTTTTCTATCGAGAATCGAAACAGAGATACTATGGAAAATTTCTCTTTTCAGTAACGTCGGCTTACTTTTATAATATCCAACAGAAAATCCCATTTTTATATCAATTATTGTATACTCAGTAAAGTATAGAAAATCAGAAAGATAAAATATTTTTAAAACGGAGTATTTTATTACGTGTGAATAATGGAAATGGTTGGAATGTGTTAACATATGTTCAATTCTAATGTAAAATAAAGACCGGGAAGAATGCTGGGGAAACTTTCTAAGTTACCCATTTTTTTAATAAATAATTATTTTCGAAGAAACTGAATTCCGAGAAATTTTCAATGCGGAGTGCGAGCATCTGATGTGTGAAACACGCGACGAGAAAAAGACCCAGTAAGCAAGGAACATTAAATTAACGTTTAAAAACGTTGACTTCATGTGCATTGTTTGGACATTTTTTAATAATATTGCATTTATATTATTCACTTGTTATTTCGTGATATGATTTTTCTGAATGTTGTTTAAACGTTTTAAAAACATTATAAAAAATATATTTTTTAAATATTACTTTAACATTTATTTGAGATCAATGCAACATCTTAAAAATATTTCTGCCGATTAAAACGTTATGACAACCCTATTTCAACATTATTGAAACTTCCAAATCGCGATCAAAGTATGTTCATAATGATGTTTGATGCAATATTAAACACTACATATTTGACAATATTACAGGTTCCCCAATATCATTGTAGTAACGTTATATTAATGGTTTCTTGCTTACTGGGGAAGGATCTCGAATTTGTGCGAATCGCGAACGAATCGATGGCTGAATTTCTCGGCCGACTCCTTATTTTCGCGTTACTCCCGCTAATAACCGTTTGATAATAACGATTTTTGATACACGCCGCAATACACGCCAACAAAGCTGCGCGCACAGCGGCCGCGGCAATCTCCGCGGATTTATTTGCCTATTTCGAATCGATTTCCGATAAATAATTTTT